TATTCATCCGGGCCCGATCGATGGCGTGAATCGGTACTGTGACTCGGTGAGGGTCGGTGTGGTTGGGCGAGCAGGCAGTCTCGTCAGTAGTTGGCCCAACTTCTATTGACTGCTGGCGTTTCCCTGCCTCTGAGACTCCCTCCCCTGCTCTGCTCCTCGGCGCCTCAGCTCCTCTGGGCATTCGCTCTTGCGATGGCCCGGCCTGTTGCAAGCAAAGCAGCGCCCCTTAAACGGTGCGGCAGCTGCATTCGTTGCAACGGCGTGTACAGTGGCGTGCTCGGTCGGTCCCCGAGGGCGATGTCCGTAATAGGACCCCGGTCTTGGTCGGTGTAGAATGTCGATCTTCTCGGCGAGCGCGAGAATCTCGTTGAAGTTAGAGAGTCCGCGCAGCATTATTTCGTGCGAGATATCCGGCTTCAGCCCTCCAACGTAACGGTCCACCCGCTCCGCTTCGTGCATGTAGCCGACCTGCTCGCAAAGTGCGAGAAAACCGCTTGTATAATCTTGAACTGACCAGAGCTGGCGCCAAGTGCGCAATCTCTGACGCGCCGAAATTGAAGCCGCAATCGGCTCAAAACGCGCCCGAAGCCCTGCGCACGACGCATCCCACGTGCTATATTGGGCGGTCTCGCAGAACAAACTCCAGGCGACAGCTGGACCCGTGGGCCCTTCCTCGTGCGACGGTGACTCGTAAACGCGTGGCGACGTCACGATGACTCGCCACCAGTCCATGGCGAGGCCCCTTAGCAGTGAGACTGCATATCGGATCTTCGCGGTGTCCGACTCGACGTAATTTGCGTCGAAGAAGACATTCGTCGTGAAGACCCACGATTGAACCATCGGACCGCCGCGTTGGCTTGGGTCGAAGCAGGGCGGGCGTTGCTGCTTGAGCGGCATTGGTGCCATGATAGCGTGTCCGCCACTTGTCGCCGCAAATTCCACGTGCCGACGGGCTTCTCGGGGCTCCCGCGGGCTTGGTGCGATCCTGTTTCCTCCCATGCTAGGCATCGGCTGGGCGGCGCCGTCACTGGCTGCGCCTGAGCGTTGTCCCATGCTGTCGTGTTGTGTTGGTGTGCCAGACGAGATGACGATCGGCTCATCCGAATGTGCAGATATATTTGTTGGTGCGTGTGATGTCGCCGGAATGTTCACCGTGGACTGTTGACGGGCGGAGTCACGTTCCGCCGTGAGAGTCGGGATTTCGAGCGCTGAATCTTCCAATTGACGCACGAGACGATCAAGTTGCTCTTGCATCAATGTGGCGAGCGTGAAGTCGGCCATGGCGGGGGTGTCAGGCAAGCTCAGCGAGAGCCTCGGTCGTGGCCGTGCGTGCTTGCGAGAGAGCACTACGAGCGGCGGTGCTGTATCGCTGAGAGACGTCTACCCCCCCCCAAAATTGAGATAGTGGGGAAGCGAAGGTGTGGATGCGGTCCGAGATGAGATCGTAGGCTCTGAATACCAAGTGTTACGAGTGCAATTGAGTGAACGAACGAGAATTGCACTATCGAAGCAAGAATACAATGAGCGAAGGCATGAGCGAATAATATATAGCGAAAGCTACAGTGGTAACGGTAATGGTCTGTGGTAGTCGCGCGACGAGCCTGGGAATGAGGTTGGGAAAGTGTCGAAGCGTAGGCCCGGAGCGCGGGTTACCAGCCGAGCCGTGAGGTCGGGATGCGATAGTGCGAAAATGGCGGGATGATTGTCGATGCGATGATCGCGAGTGGTAACGGTGCTGACTGAGGTGCTACAGTGATGTACGCGTTTGAGTAGGAATGAGAAGTAAGGAAAAGGGATTTTCCTTACACATTGCAACTGCCTCTCTTGCGTTTGGCCTTAAAGCCCCATTGTATTTGAAACAGAACATTAATACAATGTTTATACAAAGAAAACACTAGAAACGCTAATGCATAATTCTTGCACCATGATGTGTACAAATTGCCACAACTTCCAAAACCATAAGGCTCAAATATATTATCTGGCATACCACAAAAACACCACAACATCTAAGTAGTGGCTTCAGTTGAGTCATAATAAACGTTGTGTAGACATGAAGTAATCAATATAACTCTTGAACCGACGAATTTGTCAGAAGACAATTACAAAAATGAATTGATCAAATTATAATATATTGAACTGCAACATAGGCATATAGTATGCTGAAAAACATCATTTGTCAGTCATAGAGGTTAGAAAACAAAGCTCCATAACATAATGAAAAGAACATACCGTCGACGAAAACATTGACATCTCCTTTTAGCAAATTCTGTTCAGACAGATCTTACAATCAAACAACAACGTTGACACACCAAACATTTTTGTTTACAATAAAATAACAATGTTCAAGAAAATGAAATTGCACGAAAACGTACAAGTGAAATAGATGATTCATCGTGTTGAATCATACGAAACGCCATGATTCCTTTCCAACGTCATTGAGAAGATGTCACTCGCTATCCTGATTCAATGCCACGGGAAAAAGGATGAACGGATGGGAAAGCCAGTTTGTAACGTGGCGCGGTAACATAGTAGGGGACGTAAGCAGTGACGCGAGATGAGAGAGGCTTCAAAGAACTAAACAAATAATCCTCAAAATCATGGTTCTCGTTATAAAAGACGAGTTAGAACAAGAGCGTAATTAATGACAAACGAACACTGCCGGGTAATATAGTATTAAAGGGCGTAAATGTTACTTGAATTTGAGCCTAATTACTGGGAGACATAAGAGCAGAGCAGCAAATAACTAAGTGAAGAACAAAAGGTGATGAGAGAAATACGCCTTCTTGTCAAGATGAGAACGAGAGAATGATTGAACTATGAAACAGTTGGGTACAAGTACTAACCCTAATTGGGTTGTACCCCTTATGGGCTACCCCACTATAGCCTACACAAATGTATAAGCTATAATGTTCTGACACACCCCCATAGGCAAAGTGGGGGAGAACAAGTGGTCACAAGACCAGTCAAGCAAAGCAAAGCAAGCCCAGGGTGGATCACAAAGTCACCACACAGTCCGAGCACAAGAGTAAGGCCACAAGGCCAGTTCACATGCAAGGTCATATATATATAAAGGTAAACAAGCAAGTGCAGGTATAAAAAAAAATACAGTACAAACAAGATCAAGAAGAGAGCAAGTGAGGCCAGGTAGACACAAGACCTAGCAAAGTACAGAAGCGCTGATGACCACAAGGCGTAAGGGCCTTGATAAAGATATTAGCAGTGTTGGCCTCAGTGGCAATGTAGGTGAGGCGGAGCTGACCACGGTGGTGCAGCTCACGAGCGAGAAAGTAGCGGAGAGCAATGTGCTTCGTTCAGTGCTCCAGTCTGTGCTCCCGACACAAGGTCAGCATGGCCTTGCTGTCTACGTACAGAACTGGAGGAGAACAAGGCGGCTCTCCTAGGTTAGTCAGCAGGTAGGTGAGCCAGCATAGCTCCTGTGCAGCCATGGCCCCTGCGTAGATCTCAGCCTCACAGCTAGAGCCGAGAACAGAAGACGAGCGGGTAGACCGCCACGAAACAGAGCCGGAGCCAAGGCTGAAGGTGTAACCCTGTGACGACCGCTGCAGAGCCTGGTCGTCAGCCCAAGAAGCGTCAGCGTGACCTGTGAGGACCAGTCGACGTCGCCCTCCAAGCACTAGCCCCATGCCCGACGTACTGCACACGTAGCGCAACACCCTCTTCGCTGCAGCCATGTGCTCTGGTCTGTGTCTCCCAGGAGCAACATAGCGTGCCAAGATGCTAAGAGGGTATGCAAGGTCAGGTCGTGTGCAGGTCATCAGGTACATGAGGCAGCCAACAAGCTCTGGGTACGGGCCACTCGGCTCTACGGACTCATCCGAAGGCAGAGCTGAGAGCGAGTGGCGAGTAGACAGAGGAGTGGCCTGAGGCGAGGAGTACGTGAAGCCGAAGCGCTGAAGGACCTGCTGCACCATGTGTGATTGAGACAGGGTAATGGTGCGCTGTGCTCTGTCCCGGGTGATCTGCAAGCCAAGGTAGCTGCGCAGTTCACCCAGGTCTGTGCACGTGTGTCTCTTCTACAGCTCGGACTTCACGTGGGCGAGTCCAGCAGTGTCAGCAGTGGCAAAGACCAATTCGTCGACGTACACAAGGATGTAGAACGGCGGCAAAGAGGTGTCGGTGCGCAGAATCAGCGATGGGTCGGCTGTAGAAGGAGCAAACCCAAGAGCCGCAAGTGTAGTCCTCAATGTGTCGTGCCACTCACGGGGCGCCTGGCGGAGACCGTAGACTGGCTGTTGGAGGCTCCACTGGGTACCAGGAGGAAACGACCCAGTGAAGCCAGGTGGGTGGCGCAGCCAGATCTCCTCGTGCAGGCTGCCGTGCAGGAAAGCTCGTAGTTGCGCTGAGCGGCTATGTGCAGTAGCACCCGAAGAGTGGTCATCTTCGGGGTGGGAGAGAAGGTCTGAAAGTAGTCAACTCCCTGCCGCTGACTGAAGCCTCGAGCCACGTAACGCGCCTTGAAGACAGGCGAAGAACCCAGCGGCCGCTTCACCCTGAAAATCCACATGCCACTGACGATGTTCGCCCCAGGTGGGGGAACCTCGTCGACGTAGGTGCCTGTGGACTTCCAGGATGCCATCTCCGCGTCCATGGCTGACTGCCACTGAGAGGAGTAGGGACCCTCGATCGCCTCAGCGTACGATCGAGGAGTCGGGATGTCTGGTGCATCCGGGTCTCCCTCAAGGGAAATCAGCGTGGACACGAGATGAGGCAAAGCAGCCGCAAAGCACTGGAACTCCTCCTGCCTGTCCTCAAGGACGTCCGTGCTAATAGCACACTCACCCCCGACGGACGGAGGACAGACAGACTCAGACTCAACAACAAGACTGGCAGTGTAGTCTAGACGACAGCGAGCAGCGAAGTCGACAAGCTCAACAACTAGGGCAGACGCAGCAATGGACTCAAAGGAAGGGTCAGTGACAGCAGAATCAAGAAGGCGCGTGACCGAAGGACTAGCAGCACGAAGGGAGTCGGACTCCGGGTCAGCAAGAGAAGGAAGAGAGGACTCTGGAGGAGACGGCAACGGGACACGGAGAGGAGCAGTGGAAGGACGCAGTGCCATCTGGTGTGTGCCGGGGACCGCAGGAGGACGCGGACGCGTAGCACGACGACTAGTGCGAGCAGCACGAACAGACGATGCAGGACGAGACGTAGGCTCACGACACTCAGTAAGACCTCCAGTAGGACCAGTGTAGGGAGAAGGAGGAGGTAGCGGGGAGGCGGGCTGTAACTGTGACTGCGTCTGGACAGGTTGTGGACACTCTAAGGAAGGAGCAAGACCAGGAGAGGGCGGGAGACCAAGAACCTGCTCTAGGAGCGGAACAAAGTGCGGCCTTGGCCGCTCAGCGCCTCCAGAACCAGCAAGGATGGCACCAGTACCCCCAGCGGCAGCACTAGCGCTTGCAGCACCTCCTGCTCCAATAGCGCCAACTCCAGCACCCTGAGAAGCACCAGCGCCAGCAACACCGCCACCGCCAACACCCCCAGCAGCTCCAGCTCCAGCAGCACCAAGTCCAGTAGGACCGTCAGCACCAGCAGCCTCAGCAGCACCTCCAGACGCACCAGCACCAGTAGAAACACCAGCGCCAACACCCTCAGCTGCTCCAGCTCCAGCAGCACCAGCACCGCCAGCAGCTCCAGCAGGACCAACTCCAGTAGCTCCAGCAGCACCCCCAGTCTCATCAGCACGTCTCCAGCGGCGGGCAAACCACTCGCGCAGCTCCTGCGAGAGAGCGGCTCTCGCCTCGACGAAGCACCGCCGACGGCCACACGAGCAGACCCAGCACCTCCGGGCTCCGCACCTCCCGGCTCCACACCTCCAAGCTCCGCACCCCTAGTCTCAGCACCCCCAGAGTCAGCACCCCCAGTCTCACCACCCCCAGACTCAGCACCACCAGACCCAGCACCCGCAGGCTCAGCACCCCCAGACCCGGCACCCGCAGGCTCACCACCTCTAGCAGCACCAGAGTCAACAGCTACCTCGACAGGCTCGACTGCGTCTAACTGGGACACACCTGACGGGGCAGGACCCTGAGGGGGGAGGGGGTCTACTTGGGGAGGACCTGGTGCAAGGAAGAGGGGCGGTGGGGGGAGAGGCGCAGTGCGGTAGGGGAAGAGACGGTAGTAATGCACCGACTCGTCAAAGGTGACGTCCCGGGAGGACAGAACACGGCGCGAGGTGGGGTCACCCAAACGCGTCAATAGGGAAGCCAAGGAAGACGCAGGGAACAGCACGGGGGGACAGCTTGTCCGCAGACAAGTCGCGGACAAACGCCCGAGATCCCAAGACCCGCAACGCAGACGCATCGCCGACCTTCCCGGTCCACCGCAAGGCGGGGGAGGTCTCTGGCAAGGAGACTCGGGGCTTAAGGTTGAGCTGATGCGCGGCGTACTGAACCACAAACGGCCACAGAAAATGGGGGGCAGCCGCATGCATCATGGACGTACGAGCGACGTCCATGACCATGCCAATGCACCGCTCAGCAATCCCATTTTGCTGTGGAGAGGCCGGAAGTGTGAAGGTCTGGCAGATGGCCTGTGCACGACAGAAGGCTCCCAGACGGCAGAGGAAAACTCTCCGCCTCTGTCTGAGTGCAGACGCAGAACAGGAAAGTCCGAGCCGAAACTTTCTATGAGCTGGAGACGAGCTGCGCGGATCCAGTCGATCAACACCTCAGTGACGTCACCCTTGCAGCGCAAGGGGAAGATTGTGGTGTAACGCGAGTAGTCGTCAACCACCAGCAGAAAGTACCGCTCGCGCCCCTGCCCACTAACGCGAGCTGGGCCCCACACGTCCATGTGTAGAGTCTGCAGCGTAGCCTCTGTCGGAGGAAACTCGGAGGAGTGAGGGGCGGCACGCTGTCGCCCCTCGACCAAGGGGACGCAGGTAGGGCCAGGCCTCGGAGGTAGGGAAGGGAGAGACCGAGGGAGACCAGGGACAAGGACACGGGACGCCATGCCTCGGAGACGAGGCAAGGAGGGGTGACCAAGGCGGTGGTTCCAAAGGAGAGTCTGGTGGGACAACAGACGACACGAGCAGGGAGCAGACTCAGGATCGGACCTGGACGCTGCAGCAAACACCTGACTCGACGCAGCTAACTGGGTAGACTCAGCAGTCGGAGGAGACTCAGTAGTAAGGGTGTACAGGCTCGACACTGGCCGACGGGTGAACGTAGCCAAGTGTCGGCCCGTCCGAGCACACAGTGCTGTGGGTCACTCGCTGACTCGCAGGAGTGAACCGGTCAACCCCCCTATCCTGGAGGTCCGCTCCACTCACCAGGTTCGTAGAGAACGAGGGGAGTTAGAGACCTGACAGGGTGCCAGAGGGGGCTGCCGGGCACGGTAAGACAGAGGAGAAGCTAGCAAGAACAGGACCCCCAGAGGGGTCTGCAGGAGACTGCAACCGGCCGACTGAGCGGCGTAGAGTGGTGCGGTCTCGAAAGAAGGAGCAGGACGCACCCGAGTCAAGGGTGAAGGCGTGTAAGGCCTGAGCCGACGTAGTACCTGAGAGAGCAGACTCACCAGCACCTGGGGCAGCAGACGCACTAGCACCTGGGGGAGCAGACGCACTAGCACTTAGAGCTGTAGCCTCACTAGCACCTAGAGCAGAAGCCTCAATGCCCGGGTCAGGCGGTACACACAGGTAACAGTCACCCACAACACTATCATCAAGAAAATACATGGCAGCAAGAATAGCATCATAGTCAAGATCAAAGACGGCAACCCCCGCCCTAGACAGATCTCCCTAGCGAGGGATCTCTGTCGCCTCAGGGAACTGGCAACGCCACGCGTTCGTCAGGCGACCGAAGCAGCGCTGGGTGGAGTGCGGGCCTCTGCACTGCTCACCAGCTCGGTCTCCGGTACGGAGGACGTAAGTGCAGGGACCAAAACCCCCACCGCACTGACGCGCAGTGTACCACTCACGAAGCTGCTGAGGGGACAGGGTCACACCACTCCGCTGCTGCTGGCGCGGACCACAACCTGAGCCACTCCTTTGCGCAGTGTCGCGACCCGCTCCACCACCGCCGCCTCCGCCGCCTCCTCCACCTCCACCACCTCTGCCACCTCCGCCTCTTTTGCTCCCTCCCCCGCCTCCGCTCCCTCCGCCACCACCACCGCCTCCGCCGCCTCCACTGCTGCCGCCGCCGCCGCCACCCCCGGCACCACTCCCACTACCACCCCCACTCCCTCCACTGCCTCCATCACCACCTCCACCGCCGCCTCCAGCCCCTCCAGCGCCCTTGCCCCCCTTGCCCTTGCCGGTGCGGCGTTTCCCGCTCGGGGCAGACGCAGCGCCGACCGACTCGAAGCCAACGAGGTCGGCCGTAGCAGCAGAGGCAACAGAGGGCAAGAGGGGGGAGGGAGAACACCTCTCAATGACGGGGGTGCGAGGGTCACCACGAGAGGCTCCTACAATGACTATGCGCTTCTCTACCGCTAGGAGGGCCTTCTCGAGGAGGTCAACGGTGAGAGTGGTGGGGCAAACTGAGAGGAAGTGGCCCCTAACTACGCGGAGAGAGTCAGGGAGCCGGGTGACTATGTAGTAGAGGGTGATGTACATTGGGGGGGGGGGGTTCTTGGCGTAGAACTCAGCAGGAAGCGCAGCGCGGTAGCGAGTGTCACTAGTGCGGAGGTGCGTAATGAGGTGAGCGATTGTGGGAAAGGCAGCAAGGTCAGGGAAGAGGTACGGTAGCATGAGGCGGCTCAGTGCAGCAGTGGCAGGGGAAGAGTAGCATGCAGCTACAGCGTCGTACAAGGTCTGAGCACTCTTGTATGGACTAAAGTGTGCACGCTCAGTGGTCGGTAAGTGGCGGCGCACAGCAAGGCGAGCAGCAGCATCACGTGTGGCCCACTGGGAGCGAACAGTGGCGTCAGCATCAGCAGCAGGGGCAGGAGAGGCACCAGAAGTGAGGTCAAAGAGGGAGAGACCGTCTGCCCTATCGGAGTGTAGGAAAAGCTGCAGATCATCTACCCAGACCTCAAAGTCAACTGCCGGACCCTCAGCGTCAAAGGTGAGAACACTAGGGGAGGCCATGACAGCAGTAGACAGGCAGTGAGTACAGTGGGGCAGGGTAGTGCAGTGGCAAAGACGCTGCTCTTACCAGGCAAGTGGGGCGGTTGGGCGGCTCGGCGGCTCGGCGGCACGGGTGCTTGGCGGCCTGGCAGGTCGGGCGGCTCGGATGCTGGGCGGCTCGGCTGCTGGGCGGCTCGGCGGTCGGGCGGCTCGGCTGCAGGGCGGCTCGGTGGTCAGGCGACTCGGGCTGCTGGGCGGCTCGGTGGTCGGGCGGCTCGGCTGCACGGCGGTTCGGCTGCTCGGCGGCTAGGCTGCTTGGCGGTTCGGGAGCTGGGCGGCTGAGCGGTGACAGGGCCGTGGAAGCGCGGCGACGGGGCCGCTGAAAGGGCGGCGACGAGCCGCTGGAAGGGCGGGCGGCGACGGGGCCGCTGAAAGGGCGGCAACGGGGCCGCCGAAAAGGGCGGCGACGGGGCCGCTGAAGGGCGGCGACGGGGCCGCTGGAGGGCGACGACGGGGCCGCGGAAGGGCGGTGTCGGGGCTGCGGAAGGGCGGGCGACAGGGCCGCTGTAAGGGCGGGCGGCGAGGACGTGGAAGGGCGGCGACGGGGCCGTGGAAGGGCGGCGATGGGGCCGCTGAAAGGGCGGCGACAGGGCGGCAGGAAGGGGCGGCAACAAGGTCGCGTAAAGGGCGGCGCGATGGGGCTGCTAGGGCGGCGCGATGGGGCCGCAAGGGCGGCGCGACGGGGCCGCAAGGGCGGCGCGACGGGGCCGAAAGGGCGGTGCGACGGGGCCGTTAGGGGCCGTAAAAGGGGCTGCTAGAGGCCGCTAGAGGGGGAACGATACGGGGCGCGACCGGGCAGGGTCCAAGCGTGCTCCGGGCAGGAAAAAAAAAAGTCGGTGGGCCCTAGGAACAGTTCCCACGAGGGAACCAGCTCTATACCATGTGAAGATGAGAACGAGAGAATGATTGAACTATGAGTTGGGTACAAGTACTAACCCTAATTGGGTTGTACCCCTTATGGGCTACCCCACTACAGCCTATGTCAGAACATTATAGCTGATACATGTTTGTAGGCTATAGTGGGGTAGCACATATGGGGTACAGATTCCTAGGGTTTGTTATTTGTACCAATTTCTGACTTAGTCATTTCATTCCTCTTCTCATTGTTTCACATGGTATAGAGCTAGGTCCCTCCAGGACCGATTTTTTTTGGGCCCACCGAAGCGCGCCCCGAGGCGCGGTTTTTTTTAGCGACCCCTCGAGTCGCCCTCTCCCCTGCGGCCTCGCCGCCCACTCTGTCGCGGCCCCGCCCTGACCCTTACGCGGCCCCGCCGCCTGCTCCTTACGCGGCCCCGCCGCCTGCTCCTTACGCGGCCCCGCGCCGGCCCCTTACGCGGCCCTTACGCGGCCCCGCGCCGGCTCCTACGCGGCCCCGTCCCCGGCTCCTACTCGGCCCCGCCACCGGCTCCATTGCGGCCCCGCCCCGGCTCCTACGCAGCCCTGTCCGCCGGCCCCTTACGCGGCCCCGCCGCCGGCCCCTTACGCGGCCCCGCGCCGGCCCCTTACGCGGCCCCGCGCCGGCCTCCTACGCGGCCCTGCCCCGGCTCCTACGCGGCCCCGCCGCCGGCTCCTACTCGGCCCCGCGCCGGCTCTCACGCGGCCCCGTCCCGGCTCCTTCACGGCCCTGTCCGCCGGCTCCTTACGCGGCCCTGCCGCCGGCCTCTGCTCGGCCCTGCGCCGACCCCTGCGCGGCCCTGCCGCCGGCTCTAACGCGGCCCTGCCCCGGCTCCTAAGCCGGCCCTACCGCCGGCCCTGCCGCCGGCTCCAACGCGGCCCTGCCCCGGCTCCTACGCGGCCTCTACCGCCGGCCCCTTCGCGGCCCCGCCCCGGTTCCCCTTCGCGACCCCGCCGCCTCACCTGCAGCAGTCGGGCGGCCGGGCAGCCGAGCCGCCCAGTCGCCGAGCCGCCCGGGAGCCGAGTCGCCCTGCACCCGAGCCGTCCGTCGCCGAGCCGCCCGGGAGCCGAGCCGCCCTGCACCCGAGCCGCCCTGCCGCCGAGCCGCCCGGGAGCTGAGCAGCTGTACACCCGAGCCGCCCGGTCGCCGCTCTGCTTTTCTGTCGAGCTGCACGGCCTGCCCTGCCTGGTGAGCACAGTCCCTCTGTCACTGCGCCCTCTTTCCCTACTGCTTGCACTGCTTCGCTGTCGTCATCATGGCCACCCCTAGTGTCCTAGCCTTTGACGCCGAGGGTCGCGCCATTGATTTTGAGGTCTGGCTAGATGACCTGCAGCTTTTCTTACAGTGCGACAGAGCTGACAGCCTTTCTCTCTTTGACCTCACCTCTGGCGCCTCTCCTGCTCCTGCTGCCGATGCTGATCCCACTGTCCGCTCTCAGTGGGCCACCCGCGATGCTGCTGCACGTCTTGCTGTGCGTCGCCACCTCCCTACCTCTGAGCGTGCGCATTTTAGTCAGTACAAGAGTGCTCAGACCTTGTACGACGCTGTAGTTGCACAGCTACTCCTCTCCTGCCACTGCTGCACTGAGCCGTCTCATGCTTCCCTACCTCTTTCCTGACCTCTCTGCCTTTCCCACTGTCGCTGACCTCATTACGCACCTCCGCACTAGTGACACTCGCTACCGCGCCGCCCTTCCTGCTGAGTTCTGCGCTAAGAACCCCCCCCCCATGTACATCACTCTCTACTACGTAGTCGCACGCCTCCCTGACTCCCTCCGCGTAGTCAGGGACCACTTTCTCGCAGTCTGTCCCACCACTCTCACCGTCGACCTCCTCGAGAAGGCCCTCCTCGCAGCGGAGACGAGCATAGTCGCTGTCGGTGCCTCTCGTGGTGACCCTCGCACCCCCATCTTTGAGGGGTGCTCTCCTTCCCCCTTGCTGCCCTCTGTTGCCTCTGCTGCTGCGGCCGACCTGCTTGGTCTTGAGTCGGTCGGCGCGGCGTCTGCCCCTAGTGGGAGACGTCGCTCTGGCAAGGGCAAGGGGGGCAAGGGCGCGGGCGGAGCTGGAGGGGGCGGTGGCGGTGGCGGCGGAGGCGGCGGAGGGAGTGGGGGTGGCGGCGGGAGTAGTGGTAGTGGTGGTGGTGGTGGTGGCAGCAGCGGCGGAGACGGTGGTGGTGGTGGCACCGGTGGTGGTGGAGGCAGCAGCGGGAGTGGAGGCGGTGGAGGTGGAGGCGGTGGAGGTGGAGGCGGTGGAGGCGGCGGCGGAGGAGGCGGTGGTGGTGGAGGAGGTGGAGCTGGTCGTGGTGGTACCCAGCAGCGGAGCGGCGGTGGTGGTGGCCAGCGCTCGCAGCGGCAGCAGCAGCAGCGTTCGCGGGACATCCCTCCGCCTCAGCAGCTTCGTGAGTGGTACACTGCGCGTCAGAGGGGTGGGGGTACTGGTCCCTGCGCCTACGTTCTTCGTTCCGGCGACCGCGCGGGTGAGCAGTGTGGGGGTGCCCACTCCACCCAGCGCTGCTTTGGCCGCCTGACGGACGCTTGGCGTCAGCAGTTCCCCGGGGCTAGTGAGATCCCTCGCTGGGATGAGCTCCTTAGGGCTGGTGTAGCGATCTTTGATCTTGATTTTGATGCTATCCTTTCTGCTATGTATGCTGTGACTTATAGTGAGGAGAATGAGGGTTACCGGTGTTTCCAGCCCGACCCGGGCATTGGTACTGCTGCCCTAGGTACTTGTGAGGCTGCTGCTCTAGGTGCCAGTGCGTCTGCGCTCTCAGGTACTAGTGAGACTGCGCTCTCAGGTGCTGGTGAGACTGCGCTCTCAGGTACTGCGTCGCCCTCGTCCTCCCTCACTTTCACACTTGACTCTGGGGCTTCTCGCTCCTTCTTTCGAGACCGCACTACCCTCACGCCACTTGGCCGACCGGTTGCGGTCTCCCTTGCTGACCCCTCTGGGGGTCCTGTCCTGTCTCACTTCTCCACTGTCCTCCCGTGTCCGGCTGCCCCTTCGGGCACCCTGTCTGGTCTGTACCTTCCCTCGTTCTCTACGAACTTGGTGAGTGGTGCGGACCTACAGGATGCGGGGGTTCACCAGTTCACTCCTGCGAGGCGGCGGGTGACCCACTGCACGGACGCAGACACAGGCCGACACCTGGCCACCTTTTCGCGTCGGCCGGGGTCGAGTCTCTACACCCTGACCACTTCGTCTCCTCCTGTCCCTGTGTCTGGTCAGGTAGCTGCGTCAGGTCAGGTGTTTGCTGCTGCGTCCCGGTCAGGTCCTGAGTCTGCCCCCTGTTCCTGTCGCCTCCTGTCTCACGAGACTCTCCTGTGGCACCACCGTCTAGGCCACCCCTCCTTGGCTCGTCTTCGGAGCATGGCTTCCCGTGTCCTTGTCTCTGGTCTTCCCCGGTCTCTCCCTCCTCCCCCCCCCGGGCCAGGGCCTTCCTGTGTCCCCTGTGTCGAGGGTCGCCTCCGGGCTACTCCTCACTCTTCCCACTTCCCCCCGACAGAGGCTCCGCTGCAGACGCTTCACATGGATGTGTGGGGCCCGGCCCCCGTCCGTGGGCAGGGTTACGAGCGCTACTTCCTGTTGGTGGTTGACGACTACTCGCGTTACACCACAGTCCTCCCCTTGCGCAGCAAGGGTGCTGTCACTGAGGTGCTGATCGACTGGATCCGCGAGGCTCGTCTCCAGCTCAGGAAGAGCTTCGGCTCTGACTTTCCTGTTCTGCGTCTGCACTCGGACAGAGGCGGAGAGTTCTCCTCTCGCCTTCTGCGAGACTACTGTCGTGCACGGGGGATCCGCCAGACCTTCACGCTTCCGGACTCACCACAGCAAAATGGGATTGCTGAGCGCCGCATTGGCATGGTCATGGATGTCGCTCGTACGTCCATGATGCATGCGGCTGCCCCCCATTTTCTGTGGCCGTTTGCGGTGAGGTACGCGGCGCATCAGCTCAACCTTCACCCGCGGGTCTCTAGGCCTGCGATGTCCCCAGCCTTGCTGTGGACGGGGAAGGTTGGCGATGCGTCTGTGTTTCGTGTCTGGGGATCTCGGGCGTTTGTCCGCGACTT